TTCAATAGTGAAACATTAAATGCATTCCTTTAAAAGTAGCAGAAACAGGAAGCTTGCTATCATTACTTCAATTCATTATTATAACTAAGGTATTAATTTTACTGTTAGACAAGAAAATAAATAAAAGGTAGGAAGACTGAAAAGAGAAAAGTCTAAGCTGTCCTTGCAAAATCAAACAGCACATTCAGATTACTATATTCATTCATTGTCATTGCATTTAAGCAGATCAGCTCTGAATGGAATATCTGAGAGTAGAAATATTGCCCCTGTCTTTAAAGTCATTAAATTTTGTTTCAAATTAGCACCAATAAATTTAAATTTTTTAAAGTCAGTTGAATGTAAAACATTTGCTGTGTTAACATTGATAGAGTATGGTTGGTTAAGGAAGACCTGGAGGAAGTGGTTTTTAGCCTAATTTTGAAGACAGAGATTATCTTTAACAAGCCTGAAGTGGCAAACATGATATGACCGTCTGGAAGTAGCCCTCTGCTAGGTTCTGTATGTTGAACCACAGGCGAAATGGAGTTGGCCCTGCACTCATTAACTCATAAACCGGTGGATATAATAGGGTCATTCTCAACATGCATAATGGCTTGATCAAAATGGAATTTTGAAAAGTTTGTCGTGTATTTCACATGATTTAATGGGAAACTCACAGAAAAATTTACTCTAATTTGGTGCACTGCAATATTTCTATCAATTCGCTATAGTACATGAAAATCTCTAACCAAAACCTTTTCTTTCTCATCAGAGGTGATTCAAAACTTCCTTCCTGGAAATAGTTAGGCATAGTTTGTCAATTTTCTTGTTTTCTTTCTCCTGCATCTGCTTTTTTGCTTCCACCCTGATTCTGATTACATGATACTAATAGTGAGTGTGGGCTTCTACGGACAAATGTTTTAATGCTATAAATCACACTCATGTAATAGATTGTGCTGAAGACTTGAAAATAAGACTTGGATATGTAAGGCACAATTGCTGTTAGTAGGAGTTAATAGCATTTCTTTTGGAAATGAACTAAATTTCAAAATTTGTAATATTTCAGTCATTGATCATTTTTATGTTTGCATAAAAATATTCTAAAGTAAGATTTATTTGATCAGTGCAATAAAAACGTCTATGTCTTGCTAAATATCTCATTAACCCTGATCACCTGTTCATAGGAAAGGTGCTGAGGGGGATCGTGGTGAAATAGATAGTGCTGAACCTGGAGTTCTTAGACATTTTGAATCACATTTCTTCTGTCATCAAACAGCAGTTCAATGATTCATAATATCTCTGAGCCACTAGGGATAGTTGGGAAGTGAATTGGTTATAACAGACTGATAGACTTCCTGTAGCCTTTACTTATAAAAAAAATCATGGTTTTATCTGTAGTCATAAAGAATTTTAAGAACAAAAGAAAAATTCTACCGCAAATTTTGTTTTCCTAATTTTTGCTAAAATTTTATTTCAGGCAGTCACCCAGCAATAATTTCATTGAGATGACTATGTATACTCAGATGTATTTTAGGATCTCTGAAGGCAGTAAATGATACAGACTCTTGATGATGATGGCCCTTCTAAATCAAAATGCACATGAAAGAGTGTGCAGACTTGAGTAGAAATACATTACCTCGTGTGCAGATGAGGTGGTATTTTATGATTCCCAACTACATTTCTATATGTTAAAACTAGTTCTCACCACTATTGCATCTCTTTTCCTCTAACCCCATTCATCATAATCAAAATCACAAGAAAAACTAAGTAAAGATCTTTCTTTCCAAGGTAGAATATTTGTGATTCTGTTTACTCTTTGTCTGTACATTTGGGTTTGCTGAATCTTTGAACTTAATGTAAAGCACATTTTCAGACTCGCTCGTTTTTACTGACGTGTTTATAAATACCTAAATTATAGAGCTAAGTGCAGCCTGATCCTATTTCTGAATGGTCATGAGGTTTTGGCTTAATTGACTGGTTTGGTTTTCAGCTACTTTTATTTCCCTTGCCAAACAGTCTACTAGACATGTTAACAAGAAATGAAATGGTCACAAGTCTGGGTTCCAGAAGGGCGATAAGCAATGGTCTGGGCAGTGCTATATGCAGACCCAGTAACTGGCCACTGTCGCTGAGAGTAGGCTGTATGAGGCAAAATATCTGTGAGTGCATTCAAGGTATGCGTTGAATTTTGTTACATATTATTCTTCCTAGAGTTGTGTTAAGAAAGGAACATAGAAATTTATACTGATTTATGGAGAATATACATATGCAGAATTTCATTCGTTCATACGTTCATTCATACATTCACTTCATTTCAGGTCAGGTTTCTGGGATCAGTCTTTAGGTATTTATTTGCCAGTTCAGGAGAGAGAGACGTTTACAAGGAAATGTCGAATCTTCTCTTTTGTATTTAATATTTTCAAATCAAATTTCAATTAGAATTTTGAAGAAGCAAGTCCTGAAGATTTGAGGTTTTGGCTCAAGTAACTTTTCAGACATTACCAGGATATATATGTAATGTGTTACTGAATACATATGGATACATATATAAATTATCTGAGAAATTTTATAATATTTAAATAATTTTTATTACTTCTTAATAAACAAAATATACAGCTTGGGATACATTCAAGTACTATCTGTAGGAGTTGTAACCTTCACAGTACTAATCCATAATCCACAAGCAGCGTAAATTCAGCTTCACCTATGAAAGAAAAAAGTCAAAGAAAGCTACTTTCTATCATCAGAATGGCAAGTTAAGCTTTATGATATAGAAGGATCTTATGAGGAAAATGACATGTGCTCTTCAATTATGTGTGCATGGATATTTGTGAAAAATCTATTATTTGGCCCGGCCAGCATGGCTCAGTGGTTGAGCATCGACCTATATATAATCCAGGAGGTTGCGGTTTCATTCCTGGTCAGGGCCCATGCTCAGGTTGCAGGCTCGATTCCCAGTTGGGGGTGTGCAGGAGGCAGCCAATCAATGACTCTCATCATTGATGTTTCTCTCTCTCTCCCTCTCCTTTTCTCTCTCTGAAATCAATAAAAACATATTTTTTTAAAAAATCTATTATTTGCTCAAAGTCTTCCATCAGTACTCAGTCAAGTCTGAACTCAGGTCTTCTGGACATGGAAGAGGAGAGATTTTCCTCTTTTTTTTTTAATATGTTTGTATTGATTTTAGAGAGAGAAACATTGGTGAGAGAGAAACACCGATTGGCTGCCTCCTGCACACCCTCACTGGGGACGGAGCCTGCAACCAGGGCATGTGCCCTGACAGGAATCTAACCGGCGACCTCTCGGTGCATAGGTCAGTGCTCAGCCACTGAGTAACACCAGCTGGGCATGATTTCCCTCCTTTTTTTGGTAACATGATGGTTTTATAATTAAAACAATATTATAGGAACAATAAATGAAGAGAATGACAATGTGGTAGTATGGGTAGGCTTTGAAGTCAGAGACAACCAAGTTGGGGATCTGCTGCAGCACTAGCTAACTGTGTGACCTCAGCAAGTTTCCTAAATCCACAGTGCTTTCAGGTGAGGAAATAGCAAAATGGGAATGACACATATTACTAAAGCATGAGGGTGATGTGAGGGTGAAGTGATGTAATGTATGTCAATACTAACGTAACACTACATAATTCTAAACATGGAAAAATTACTAGTGTTTGCTATATATCAGAAATATCAATCATATGTGTCTTTTTATATTTGAAATGTTTATTTTGTATCACTTATTTTCATAGTCCTTATAGTGTATGTAGAGTTATACATTTTCAGCTTTATTCATGTAACATTATTATGTAACAATTGTTTAAAGTGCTACAGTCTTCAGTCATTTTAATTCAAAATAACTATAGACTTGACACCCACAATTGTCTAAATCACATTACCTGTAGTTGAACATTTATTCTATTTGTATATTTATATTTTGGTATATTTAACACCTTTGTGCCTAATGTTTTTTCACACCTTAAATGTTTCTCTTAGTATAAATTTCCAAAAGTAATGGCACAGTGTATTCAGGTTGCAATTTTTAGCTTTTTAACTTATTACCTGAGTGATGTTGAGTAAGTTAGTTATCCTCTTTAGGTCTTAGTTTTCTTATGTGTAAATGAAAATGATAAATAATAAGTTAGTATGTATAAAATAATTAAACCACAATCTTTTACACAATAAGGGCTATCTGAATACATACTTAAGGCCAAAGTTTTCAAAATAGTTGTTATAAGTTACTGCCAACAGCAATTTTAATTTTATTTTCCTTTTAAAGATAGCATGGATTGCCCAGCCTGGCGTGGCTCATCAGTTGAGCATCGACCTAGGATCCAGGCGATCGGGGTTCAATTCCCGGTCAGGGCACATGCCCAGGTTGCGGGCTCGATCAATGACTCTCTCATCATTGATGTTTCTATCTCTCTCTCTCTCTCTCTCCCTCTCTCTGAAATCAATAAAGGTATATTAAAAAAAGAAAAAAAGATAGCATGGATTTTATAATTTTTTATATGCTAATTGGATACAGATAAAAGGTTATAATGATTAGTCTTAACTGTTTTGTACAAATCACATGTTGAATCCATGAAGGTAGGGCCTTTGGTCTACTTGTTTCTTACTAACCAACCCAAGGGAATACCTAGCACATAGCTCTGAAAGTATTTGCAGAAAGTATAAGTGATTGTGGAATTCTTGGCTGCATCTTGAGCTTGAAGACAGAAATGCTTCGTTTTGTAGATCAGCTAAGATGCAATTTAAGTGAAGAAAGATACTATTTTGAGTTCTGAAAAGCCATGCCAAATAAGCCACTTTAGATATCGTAGCTTATGGGCTCTTATTCTGAAAACAAATCTTCAATTTAAAAAAATATTTTCTATTGAAATTTAGTTTTTTAACTGAAACTTTGGAAAATTGGAAAGACAGAAAAAACTTTTACAGGTGCATAAAAATGTATTATGTATGTTCATTGCATATTTGTTGAACTCTACTGATGATTATATATTTAATTTACAATATACCTAGGTAAACCAGTCATGATTGTCACAGAATACATGGAGAATGGTTCCTTGGACAGTTTCTTACGTGTAAGTAGAAGATTTTTATATACATGTGTTGTATATCTCTCTTTCTGTTTATGCACATACATGCATAAGTATGGGAGGAATTACTGAAAATGTTGGAGACAGCCTCTGATATTGTGCCAATTAGATGATCAAAGTTAAAAATAAAACTGAAATTTGCTGAGACTAAATAGCAAGAGGAAGACTATAAATTTGAATTCTTATCTTGAAGCATCCAAATATTAATGGTTTATATTTTTAAAACAAATTTGTGCAATCTTCTGCAGCCTTTTTGTACTGCCAAGATCCACATCAGTCAAACTACAAATAAAAAATAATCCTAAAGTAAGACATAAATAACATTGACATAAGAAATATTCCCTTTTCTTTATTTAAAGTAGCCTCAGGCTGCTATAAGATAGAAGACCATCTATCTCTCACAGTGCTGTCCATTCAGAAAATAAATGTGTGCTAAAATGCCAAAGTATTCTCAAATCAGAGATATAATTTTGGAATAAATGTTATCTTTAAAACATACAAAAATTTCACACTGACCATCACCGGTCCCTGCAAGGAATTAAATAAGACATAGCTCCCATCCTCAAGGTGCTTTCAGCACCATATATATAGAGACAAATGATGATAGATTGATAGATGATAGATAGATGATAGATGATATAGATGATAGATAGGTAGGTAGGTAGATAGATAGATGATAGATAGATGATGATAGATAGATGATAGATAGATGATAGATAGATAGATAGATAGATAGATAGATAGATAGAT